TCCTTCCATCTTATCCCACCTCTCCTTTCTTTCCTCCTAATATGTTTCTATCCCTTCATTTGCCCATCTCTCCTTTCCCTCCTTTTTTGGTGATTCTGAGATGTTACCAATATCACTTACATTACAGTACCTCTGTTGGACAAAGATCCTCTGCTGTAAAGGTTCAAGCTAAAGGTATATTTTACCCTAACATCTACTACTACAGGGATCACCTGCTGATTCCGGTGATTCCCGTGATGATTCCCGTGAATAATAATGAAAGGTTTCAAGTTAAAGACAAGGTCATTATACACTTGGACCCGAACGATCTGCATCAAATTATAAAAACTAAATATGGTCACTGGGATGATGACCTGGAAAGGGTATGATAAAGTTTTATAGTTATAATTGTAGAACTTGCATTTTTTATAAACTTATTAAATTTTAATTTCTCAATTTTTTCTGCCTTTTTTTAACGAAAACAATGTTTTAGGGAATATTTGAAGTAGGTATTGTGGAAAACGATGATGACAATGGAGTTGAGGTTAAATATGAAACACTGAAAGAAGCTTTGCTGTTTCCCCATGACGTTTTGTCGAAGGTAAGGGTCACGTAGTCCTTAAAGTAATGCTGAACAAAAATGAATAAAATACACCAACTGATCATATAATAGCGTTTGGTTGGGTTTAAAACAATAGCCAGTCAGATTCTGAATAGGCATCAGCATTATCACCGTCACTATCACCGTCAACTACACCACCATCATCATTGAACATCTTTCTTTACCAAGATTGGTATTATCACCATCACTATCATCGTCTCTACAAACAACACCATCATATCGTTGAATCATAACCATCTTCATCACCATGAAAATTGTCATCATTACCATCACCGATCATCATTGTCATCACCATCATCTTAATCACCATGATAGCTGTCACCACCACCATCATCAGTCACTATTACCTTCAGCACCATCATTACCGTTGAATCATCACCATCATCTTAATCACCATGATAGCTGTCACCACCACCATCATCAGTCACTATTACCTTCAGCACCATCATTACCGTTGAATCATCACCATCATCTTAATCATTATAATAGTTGTCACCATCACTGTCATCATTGCCACTATCACCATCACCACCATCATTACCATTGAATCATAAACATTATTTTCATCCCTATTAAGCTGATTACACTAGCTACATAATGGAATTAACTCGATTGAATCGTTTTCCCAGAATGTAGTTTAGTTTTGATTTCTATTCATTTCTTTGCTATGTACATGTGCAGGTCCATGATCTAAGGGTAAAAGACAGAGCCACGATTTCTGTTTACAAAGAAAAAGTAAAAATACTACAAGAAGGTCACAGAGGATGGATTGACCAAATGGAGGAGGTATGCATATTAAAACTCCAAGAAATTGTAGCCTAATTATTGACAGAGGTTCTAATTACTGGGAGCCCAATTTAGAAAAAAGTGCTAGAAAATCTGGAAAATATATAATTTATTTAAAAAAAACAGGTTAAAAAAGTGTACCAATTAATACAAGGTCGTTTTGCTTGACCAAGACAACTGTCAATAACTACCTACAAAAATATTCTGCTCATGTTTATTATAATGGAAAGCCGTTTTGCAGCAAAGAATACTGTGCTCATGCGCAGTAACGTTGCATTTGCCAACATGGCTCAGTCCTTTCCCTGTGACTTGGTATGTTTTATAGATAGCAAAAACAGCCAAAACGCAAAAATAAAACGGAAAAAATAACTCGAATAATAAAACAATTATTCAACTTGCTAATCACAAAATATCGTGATTTGTTAGTATCTCGCAAGCAATTGTTTGCTCTTCCTTCGGCATTCGGCTAGTAGTTTACTCAACCTCGTCTTAAAATTGCTTAATAAATGATATATTTTCCAGATTTCTTTTATCTATAAATTGTTCGACTCCCTGTGAATCTAATACTCGGATAAATGTTGTGCCGCAGGTGCTCGGCCAAGAAGGGATAGTAACAGAAATCGATGAGAAAGGCGATGCAAATGTTGAAGTTGGAGAAACGAAATTGTGGTTTAACCCTGCTGCACTCATCCTTGAATCAAAAGAAGAAGAGAGGGAACCCGCTGGTACAGTGATGACCGACGATGCTAAAGAGGGTGCTGAGGGAGGTGACGGAACATTGGCCGTAACAGAAAAGCGCGTCAAAAAATCCTTGCCAGGTTATTATAATAGATTTTAATTGACTGACAAAAATACATTAAAATGGACAGTATTACTAGGAAGTTATTAACTTTTATCACAGAATGTAACCTTACTTATTCTATAAAAATTTCTTTGTTGGCTGTAACCTTATCATTCTGTGGGTTTCATTTGCGATATTTTTTAGAAGAGGCCTTGGAAACCTTGGAAGCCTTACCAGACTTATTTAAGAACAGGATAGAAGGTCTGTCAAATTTCATAACTGAGGGCTTTAAAAAGTTTCGTGAGGATACTCGTAAAAAATTACCAGTAAGTCGTGACCTTACTAATGTTTGTAAACTGCAATTTCCTGTATTTTCCTTAGTCACTGTTTGGTGTTTGCTTTGGTTAATTTGGCCGAGGGGGTATTATAAGCTAGTCCGCTGATATACTCCGTCATCCTTCAATCCCAACACTCCTCACTGGGCCAATTAACGAAAAGCAGACATTAAAAGTGACCAAGGGAAATAGAGGGACTTCTCGAAATCTATAATGTTTGCTGATTCCTCCCTTGTTTTAAGAAGGTAACAAGTAACGGTGTTGATTTTTTTTGAGAAAGGAAAACCGAAAAGATTGAAGAAAATTCCTCAGATACTTGTCATTTATTTCAGTAAAGCAATTATAATCTTGTTCCGATTCAACTATATACCGCGTCCTTTGATACACGATTCTCAAATAAGCGTTCAGTAGTACACGATTCGCTTTTGATGAATCAATAAATATTTCTGTTTTAAAACGTCTTCTAAATGTGAATACTAAGAAAAAACTTACATATTTGTGGGGCATAATGGAGGACTCAAGGGGTGCACATGAGTTCTCGTCGCTCCACGCTCACACACTTACGCTTAAGTAGTAAGGTATGCTGGTCACACTTATTTCTCGTGGCTATTCCGACCCAAGTCAAGATTTTTCTGGAGCATGACGCCCAACACAGGAAACACTGTCTATTGTGCTTCTTATGCAACAACAACATGATTAATTATGATTTATGTTTTGTTCTTATGATTTATTTTTGTTCTACTCTTCACAGATCACCGTTATTTTTGGTGATAACCAAGTTGACAGCTGCAAAAGTGACGTAAGTTCCTCTGTGAAATACACCTACAGTTTCCCCCGTATTCATGTATGGCCATGGACTGGATATGAGATTGTAAAATGAATTGTTCACGCCACTCTAATATAAAAATATGCCACTATTAATTTGTTCAGATCAAAACTTTTGTTTGTTTCGTAATCTTAATAGCCCGTTGTCCACCTTTGCAGCGGAAAGAAGTAGGAGCTTCTTGTTCTTGTTCTTGTGACTGACACCGCCAACTGCAGGATATTTATTTTCGGTTCATTATATATCTGACTTCTGTCACTTAGATCATAAATAATTGGTACCTTTTAGGGATAATGTTCAAAGCCAGTGAAAGGAGGTTTTTCCTTGTACCATTTCTGTAGTCTGTAAAGTGTAGGCAGCTTTTCTGAATTCAATCGTGGTTTTATTGCAAAGACTCGTTACACATGAAAAACCTCGAAAACTCCGCCCCAACAGCTGAGTTGCATGCCACATACATTTGTACCGCGTGTCCAGTAAACTCTCAGAGAATTAACAAATTTCTATTTTTCTCTTGTACGTTCAAAGCAGTCAAATAATGCTGAAGAAATTGACTCACTTGAAGGTTAGTTGGTTTTTCTAATTTAAATTCCACTTATGACTAAAAGGGTTGTTTTAAAATCCTGTTGAAAAGGTGCGCGGTAAAACTGAGGATGATGTCATAGTCTCGTCATTTGCATTGAAATTCTAGCGATTAAGTTGTCCCCAGATTCCTTAATCAATTTAAAGTAAATACATTCGTATATAATTATATATTTTAAGGGCAAGCTTGCGCACCTCTTCAATCAGCAGAAAGTACGGAAGAGTTGAAAAGCTCCGACGAAGATGAAGATGAGGTAAAACATATTCTCTTTTTATTTTTGCAATACTGGGCATGAATGAATTTATAGTCGGGTTTTTCTCCTTTTTTTTACGGAAGCCCAAGAAAACCACCACTGGTTTTTGTTTTTAACTTTTAAGATTTCGTTTTTCACTCTTCGGTTTTTCCTTTTAACTTTCGAGTTTTTGTTTTTCAAACCGAAAGCTCTAAACCGAAAGCGAGTTACACAGCATTTTAAAACGAATTCATATAGAAAATTCGCAATGATTTTATCATGTAAATAAATAGTTTCTGATTCTTTTGTGTGTGTGTGTGTGTGTGTGTGTGTGTGTGTGTGTGTGTGTGTGTGTGTGTGTNGTGTGTGTGTGTGTGTGTGTGTGTGTGTGTGTGTGTGTGTGTGTGTGTGGTCTGAAACCTTGATTCATCTAGTATCGATTAGATTAGTGATGTGCATTATCAATACGATACAAACGTTGTACATACGATAAACCTGCTTTATCTAGTATGTTGTATTTACATTTCTTTTATTTTCTCTTTTTAGGACTTTTTTGTTCGTCCTACGATTATGAGGCGAATTGCTCCAGAAAATCAGCCACATCGAACAGATAACGTTTACGAGATGACCCTCTATCCAAGGGGTGTTGCGATGATTGTCAACATAAAAAACTTCACTATTGATCCTGGGCATCCCATGTTTGGGAAGTTGGAAGAGCGTCTTGGATCAGAAAAGGATCAAGAAAATTTTACCCTTTTGTTTGAATATTTGGGTTTCCTTGTTGAAACGATCAACAGGACTTCTGGAGATGAACTCCTTGCGGAACTGCATAGAATTTCCACTGAATATGATTTTAGCACGACAGATTGTTTTGTTCTCTGCATCATGAGCCATGGAGAAAATGACAGTATCTACGCCTCAGACGGAAAACGACTTCCCCCCTCGTTAATCGTTTCCTTGTTTTGGAACTCAAGATGCAAAAGTCTCGCAGGCAAGCCAAAGCTGTTCTTTTTCCAAGGATGCCGAGGAAAAAGAAAGGATCGTGGGGTACCTCTTTCTGATGTTCCAGGAGATGAAATGAAGACAGCAATCAATGATTCCTTTCCGTCAACATCAGAGTCAAACGATGCAAGCACGATTCCTGAAACCGCTGATATTCTAGAGTTTTACTCGTGTTACGTAGGATTTAACGCATTCCGTAACTCGGAAACAGGATCCCCTTTTATCCAGACTATCGTAGAAGTGTTCAGAAAATATGCTTGTCGTCACCACATTTTAGAACTAATCACCAAAGTCAAAAAAAGAGTTAGTGAAAGCCAGCATTTAGGGAAGAAGCAAATGCCCCAGCATAATTCAACTCTGTTAAAATACCTGTACTTCTGGCCAGGAATTGATTTTTGGGACGAATATCCTAAGTACTGACCTGGAACGCAGCGGCTTGAATAATGGAAGAGTATTCTCTAGAAAATCGATTTTTGAGAAAGTAGCAGCCCTTCAACTTGAAGCAGGGTTCAAAATGCAGTCAATTGAAATAATAATTATAAAAGAGTAAATTATACACCGTGAAAAGATGAAAAAACTTACTGACGTTTCGGACGCCAGTCCTTCGTCGGGGTAAAAGAGAAAGAGGTGGTAGAAAGAAGTGTTTATATGATAGAATAAGAAAAAAGAAACGGTGTATAATTTATACTTTTATCATTACTGTTTCTTTAGAAACACCGACGCAGCTCACACTAGTTTTGAGCTAGTTATCTCTTCAAATGAAATAATAGATTTTTTGAATCCTAATCATTGTGCTAGTGGATTGTGTCAATTATGCACATACACTTTATGCTCGATATAAACTGAGGGAATTCTATAGGACCACCATGGCTATTCTTAGATTCCATGACAAAACCTTTGTACCGCGTCACCAAAAATAATTGATAATTTTACCGCAGAAAGCCTAAAGTCTAAGAACTGGACCTGCCTATACCATGCCTCGTCAAGATACCGTGACAAAGCAAACCATGCATTGCAAATTTTCACTAGTTATGCTTGAGACTAAAACCTTGTTGAGCAAAGTTCCCAAATTTTCATTCAATGATGACTAATCAATGATTTGTTTGTGGCTTGAAATCAGGTTTAACAACTGAAGATGAACGAGAACTAGGTCTACTGAAAATTGTTTCAGTTGCACATTTTGCATACTTTTATCCTTTCTTTACGATTCCTCCACGGACACTCGCTGTAATTTTTCAACTGTATAAAAATACAGACTTGACAAGAACGTCGAAGGCAATTACTGGAAAACGTGAAATAGTATGAAATTGTATGGAAATGACAAACGTGTGACTGCTGCTCTGCTAATGCGCGTTACTCCTGACGCACTTTTCGATGATCTGCGATCTTAAAAATGAGGTACTCTTGCCCTTCCCTGACGTCATCCTTCCAGAAACATCATTTTCACTTTCGTTTTACTCAAATTGCACCTTAAAGACTTTGGATTTCAATTAAAGTATCGGTCGGAGTAGACATCTCTTTTTCCTCAAACTAATCAGTTCATGTATTTGCACGAAAGGGTGTTACACGGTGCAACACTGCAAGATGTCAATCCTTGCAAAAATTAGAACCGTGTCAGTCTACTTTGGGCAACATATATATATATATATATATATATATACAGCCATTTGCAAAAATTATGGCCGTTTCAAATATAAATACAAGTATATCGAAAGTATATCAGACAGGGCGGGATATCTTTCTTGATATTTTTTTCAGAAAGCCCTAATGATAGACAAGTCGAAAAAAATATAATGGAGGATATCTCATAACATTTGATATGCTTTTGATATACTTGTATATATATTGGAAGCGGCCATAATTTTGGCAAATGGCTGTATATATATTTAGAAAACTCATTAATAATTCATGAAGAAAACACACTAGAAATCATGACCATGAAGGTGATTTTATATCGGATAAAGATTCGTCTTCATTTGCATAAACTTTAACTTGGATTTTCTCGATCCAACTTGGTTCAATTCGTAAAGAATTCGGTACAATATGAGAACATACATCTGGAGTTTTCTAAGCCGTTTAATAAACTCGCAGATCGTGTTTTATCGGGTCTAAAATCACTCGGCTACGCCTCGTGTTTTATACCCGATAAAACACTCCTGCTCGTTTATTAAACAGTACATATATATTAGCATTAATTTTTTTTTTCTTGTTATATTTTCTTCTTCTTTTTTATCTCGGATCATTAGCAGCTATGCTAGAGGCCTAGCAAGTCTCATTTTAAAACCGACTGAGTTAAATAAAGTTTCTCTATCTATCCTATATCTATCGCAGCAACCTGTCTTGCAATGCTTTGAGTGTTGCAAAATAATACATGCAGCAATGGCTCGTACATGTCAACCTGCCTTGTGACGGCATTACGAAAAATCGTTGCAGACCACTATGCATGTAACAGGGTTTTGAAGTAAGATGAAAATCGTTCTGTGAAACAGCTTTGAACCCCATATAACATTCATACATCCTTCAAAACCTTTCTTGAATGTCTCAAAACTTAGTAAGATTGCCCCATGTAAGGGAATCCGGAATCCAGGTCTTGGAATACGGAATCCCCCCTTTTGGAATCCGGAATGCGCTACTTTGAAATTCAGAGTCTACACTCAAATGCTGTTATGGATTGAACAAGTTATTCTAAACAGGTTTCAAGCATTGATAAGCGGAAATATGCAATGACAAGTGACGGTTCACAACTAGTAAACAATGGAAAATAAACATAAGTGGCGATATACCGTGATATAAGGGAATCAAAGCTAAAAACTTACAATTTTGTCCTTCTGCTGGTGCTACACGGCTTGATGACATTAGACTAACGTGTGTGTGAAACTCGGCCCTAGTCCTACTCTAGCGGTTTTGGCCGCGACATATGGATTGCAGTTTAGTTACGAATGTTTGAGTAGAATGTTGTTTTCTTTGAAAAGGACAGCGGCTTCGCTTAATGTGGGCTTGAAAGTTTCCTCTGCTAGTAATCAAATTGACTTTGTCATCCAACACGTCCGTTGTCTTACTTAACGTTGAAAATGAGCAAACAATACGTTATGGTGTCTGAAACTTAATGTATGCTCTTTTATCAATTGTTTTTTTATCACGCTAGTTATATATACCAGGGACACCTCCCTTGTTATACTGGCAACTATATCAAATATAATTTTCAGAGAAAGTACCTGAAAAAGCTGGCTCCTCAAAATCTCATTGATAAACTGGACACTTTCAAGTTCTCCCATAGTTATAACACTAGAAACTCTAGTGTTATAACTAGAATAGCTTAAAAAGAACATTTTTCTACAACTCAATTAATCTTCTAAATAACCTGAACATTAATCCAGCCTCAAGTATTAAGGACGCTCGAAAGACATGTTTTTCTTCCATTATGAAATTTTATACTAATGGTAATTTTAAAGTATTACGTATTTATTAAGCATTTTCCCGGTATCTTTGATATCTTTTGCTCGTCATAATAATAATTTACGAATAATAATTACTTAATTTATACAATCATTCATATWTATATTTACATCATATGTGTTCGAGAGGGCTTGTATTAGTTTGCTGCACATGTGCCTGGCGTCCCCTGGAACAATGGCTGTTTCCATGGTGGTGCATGTTGCTATGTGTCTTGGTCCAAACCCTCCCGAGAACTTGAACACTTTGCCGACTTGTCATAGAATAATTCCATATAATTCATATTTGTATTTACATAATATGTTTTCAGGAAGGCTTGGATCAGGTTACACTGCACATGCACCTTGTTTCCACTGATTCATGGTGGTGCATGCCTGCATGTATGTCTTGGTCCAAGCCTTGTTGAAAACTTGAATACCTTTAACAGTGTATTATACATATTTGTAATTTTTATCAAATTTTACCCTCTAATTTATTATCTTTTATGATGTTTGTATTTTTTGTTTAATTACCTTTTATTATCGTAATATATCTCTATATTTTTGTTAGGGCTGTAAGGGAGAGTACAGTTTTCTGTAATTACGGTTCCCTCTTTAAATAAAGTGTTACTACTTACTACTACTACTAGACCCTTGGAATCCGTAATCCAGAATCCGGAATCCACCATAGGTCCGGGGTAGTAAGGAAGTCGCGCAAGTATCAGATATTGTTTCCATCCCAGCTTCAAATTTAATCTTGAAGGAAATATTTCTTAGTGAAGACGACGTTCCTTTGGTAACTGACCTTGTCTGAAATATCGATTTTCATATTCAATTCAGTTACAAGGCCCGTGCCAAAAGAAACTTGCACTCGCACTCGCGTATTTTCAGTTTTCAAACTATTACAACTGTTTTCATTGCTATGCTCTGACAATAGTCGCGACAATGGAATTCTTGGTTTTCACCTACGTCATCATGAATTTCAAAAGAGTAAATTCGCATTATAATGAAATAAAAATTTTATATTCTTGCAAAGCGGTCCAAACTACATATGCTGGCCAAATTTTAAGGCTGTAAAGCATTTCGTTGCGGAACTATAGGCAAGTAAACATGACGCAATTTTTGGTTAAAATGTATGGAGCGGCCATC